TCTATCGTATCATCAGGCAATGAGGAATCGGGCTCCGGCGGGGACCTCCGCCGACGCCCATCGTACTGTGGCTGTGGATCAACAGCCAAACACTATGACTGTTCCTCGGCCCACTCCTCCTGTAATTACTCTTCCTGACCCTTTAGGGAAGAAGAAAAAAGACAAGGGTAAGAGGAAGGCCGACGCATCTGCCGCAGAACCCACTCGGCCCAAGCAGCATCGGGCAGGAAGTCCTCCAACGGATTTGGCCATTCCTTCAGCCATTGTTGTGAAGGATTTTCTTTCTGAAGAGATCCGGCCGACCCGTATGATGTGATCGGACTTACTGTCTGACTAGGGTCACCGCATGCTTGATTCTGCCACCCCTTCGGCTCAATGGGCTATGGCGTGTGAGTTGCTAGTGAGGGCGACCGCCATACTCTGGAAGTTGGCCTTAAAGCCTATGGCCGATGTGCATAATCTAAGGAAAAATTTGGAGGAGACCAAAGCAGCCTTTCAATAGTCGGTCGAAGCACACGAGGCCACTTCCAATGAGAATTTTGCTTTGGGGCCGAAGTGGTTTGGCTGAAGGAGGCTCTTGGTGAGATGAAGGGCCGAGCCCTTACGGCAGAGGACGCCGAACGAATGAGGGTCTGAGAAGTGGAGGAGATCACTGCTCGGGAAGAACAAGCCAAGGCCGATGCCGAGGCTTCTCTTGCTGCTTTCCGGACTGCGTGTGAAAATAAAATAGTTAAAGAGAACGAGGATGGCTTTTGGCATGCCGTCCGGCAAGCAACTCATTTTGGAACCTTTCCCGCTGGCTTCGAGTTCGAGTTGAGCAAAGATTTTTTCCAGGGGGTGTACATGGACTTTGCTGATGCCCCCGACAACATTGAGCCAGACGAAAAGGCTCCACCTCGCTCGGCTGCCCCAGAGGATCTCGGCGCCACTGTTAACGACGATGAGGAGACCGAGCAAACCACTAATGCCGATTGATGGGCTTTGGCATTAGGCTTTTTTGTTTTTTGGATTGTACATCTTTTTTGTTGATGATGTATAGGTATAGGGTCTTTTTGTTACTTGTGATTCTTTTGGGCCATTAGTGCCTCCTGATCATTGTACCTCTCGGCCAATAGTGCCACTTTGGCCTCAGAGCCCTTCTAATGAGTTTCATGCATTTTGGATTTTATCTCGGTTATTCTATTCTTTCTTCTTGGTTCGGTTAAATTTAATAACTTGAATCTTCCACGTATAAAGTTCAAGCTTGCGCTTAACTTGATCGGGTTTCAGTACTCGTGTACGAGTAGTTTTGAGTTTTGCAAGCGTTAACTTGCCCGAGACGAATTACTTTGGCCGAGCAAGTGTACTTGATAAGGATCAAGTGTTCACGTTTGATCTCTCGGTTAAGGTTCAGATACTCAACCTTGGCCTAGAAGATCTTTCAGGAGGGATTGAGTGGTTGGTCCTTGGCTGTGTAGTGGGTACTCGGGAGGGATTAAGTATTAGTCCTTGGCCGAGTAGTGGGTACTCGGGAGGGATTTGGTAATTCAACCTTGGCCGAGTGGTACACTCGGGAGGCATTAAGTTTTCATCCTTGGCCGAGCGAGGGTGCTCGGGAGGGTAGTATTCATCCTTGGCCGAGTAGTTATACTCGGGAGGGAATTGTTCTTTCAACCTTGGCCGAGAGAGGGTGCTTAGGAGGGAAGTATTCATCCTTGGCCGAGCAGTTATACTCGGGAGGGAATTGTACTTTCAACCTTGGCCGAGCGAGGGTGCTCGGGAGGGAAGTATTCATCCTTGGCCGAGTAGTTATACTCGGGAGGGAATTGTTCTTTCAACCTTGGCCGAGCGAAGGAGCTCGGGAGGGAAGTATGTATTCGACTTGTAATTAGACTGAGTGGATAAAAGATTCTTGAAAAAGAGCTTGTTTCATTGATTTGGTGCCTCATTAAAAACCTCTTCTCAGGAAAACCTCTTTTCACACTTTTTTAAGAGGGGAAAACCTGAGGAGAGGAAAAGAGTGAACCGAAACAATTACATTGTGTTTGCTAACTAAAATAGTGCTTCAAATGTGTTGCGTTCCATGTCCGAGGGATGGCTTCTCCTGTGACTCGCCAAACCAAGTTGCCAGGTTGAAATTATCGTGGCTTGACCTTTGTTTGATGCTTTCTGATTAACCTAGTTCGGCAAACCTCCATGTTGATGAGGGCTTGGTCGCGTGCTTCTTCGACTAAATCCAGTTCGACGTTTAGCGCTTCCTCATTGGTTTGTTCGTTGAATAGTGTTTGTTTTAGGGAGGGTTCTCCTACTTCCACCGGAATCATAACATCTGTGCCATAGGTTAACCGAAAAGGGGTTTCCCTAGTCGAACTTTGTGGGGTACAACGGTAAGCCCATAGGATTTCAGGCAAATAATCGGGCCATGTCCCTTTAGCTTGTCCGAGGCGTCGCTTCAATTCTTTAAGGATAACCTTGTTCACCGCTTCTGCCTGCCCATTGGATTGAGGATGCTCTACAGAGGTCATCTTGTGCTTGATGCCTAATCCAGACAGGAACTCGTTGAAACGACAGTCTGTAAATTGTAAGCCATTATCCGTGATTAAAGCATATGGGATTCTGAAACGGGTATTGATGTTCTTCCAGAAGAATTTCTGGACGTTGTTAGCCGTGATGGTGGCCACTGCCTTCACTTCAATCCACTTAGTGAAATGATCTACTGCCACAAGGAGAAACTTTACTTGGCCTTTCGCTGGTGGAAAGGGTCCCAGGATTTCCATACCCCAAATAGAAAATGGCCAGGGAGTGGCGATGGAATGGAACCCTTCGGGGGGCTGGTGTCTCAAAGACCCATGTTGTTGACAGGGTTTGCACTGTTGAACAAATTTGGTGCAGTCGGTCACCAGTGTTGGCTAGTAGTATCCAGCTTGGATGACCTTAGTTGCAAGGGTTCGGCCTCCCGAGTGAGTCACATATGCCTTCGTGGATTTCCCGGATCACGTAGTGTGCCTGTTCTGGTGCTAAGCATTTTAGTAGTGGTGACGAAATCCCTCTCTTGTACAAGTCCCCAGCGATTAAGGTATATCGAGCCGCAACGATTTTCATTTTCTTTGCCTCCAAGGGATCAGTGGGCAATGATCCGGTTACGAGGTGTTTGACTATGCCAGTCATCCAATTGGGTGTTTCTTGCTGAACTTGCAAACATTCGGCTTGGGTGATACTTGGCTTCTGCAATTCTTGTTGTATCATGCTGCGCAAATGGCTAACCTTTTTGCTGCTGGCCAGCTTAGCCAACTGATCAGCCCTCGTATTGAGTTCTCGGGGTGTATGCTTAACTTGGACATCTTCAAAGTCGCCTTTCAGCTTTTGGAAAGCATGAAAGTATAACAGTAGTGTTGGCTCTTTGATTTGGAAAGTGTCGTTGACTTGCCCTGTCACTACTTGTGAATCACTCCAACACTGTATTTTGGTGATGCCCAGATCCTATGCTAACCGCAGTCCTGCTAGAAGGGCCTCATACTCGGCTTGGTTGTTGGATATTTTGAAGTCGAATCGTAGTGACTGCTCGATCACAACTTTACCCGGACCTTCTAAAATGATGCCAGCGCCGTTGCCTTCCTAGTTTGATGATCCGTCTATATGTAGGGTCCAAAGGTGAGACCCAGGAAGCACTTGTGGTGTGAATTCATTCACGAAATCGGCCATGCTTTGCCCTTTGATGGGTCCTCTTGGTTCGAAACGAATATCGAATTATGAAAGTTCGATGGACCAAGCGATCATTCGCCCTGCCAATTCTGGCTTCTGCAAGACCTTAGTGATTGGGCTATTTGTTCGGACGAGCACCCGATGGCTCTGAAAATAGTGTCGTAGGCGCCTGGCGGTATGTACAAGGGCTAACACTATTTTTTCGAGATGCTGATATCTTGTTTCGGCGTCTTGTAGCACTCGGCTGACGAAGTACACCAGCATCTGTTCCATCTTCTCTTGTACCAAGACTGAGCTGATGGCTTTGTCTGACACCGATATGTATATTATCATGTCCAGTTGAGGGTCCGGTTTGGTCAACAATGGTGGAGTTGTGAGCATTATCTTAAAGCTTTGAAAAGCTGACTCACATTCGTCATTCCATTGAAACTTTGTAGCCTTCTTCAGTAAGGTCATTATGGGCCTTGATTTCTCAGCCATGCAGGGAAGGAAACGAGCCAAGGAAGTGATGCGTCTGGCAAGCCGCTGTACTTCTTTTATGTTACGAGGGCTTTGCATATTGATAATACCTTGACATTTATCGGGGTTGGCTTCTATACCCCTTTTTGACAACATGAATCATAAGAATTTTCTGCCGGCTACCCCAAAGGTGCATTTTATCGGATTTAGTCGCATGTGATGTCATCGCACTTCATTAAAGATCATGCCGAGGTCTTTTAGGTGGTCATTGGCTGAAGTGGATTTGATCACCATGTCATCCACGTATACCTCTAGACATGTCCCTATTTGGTGGTGAAAAATTTTGTCCATGAGTCTCTGGTAGGTGGCACCGGCGTTTCTCAAACCGAAGGGCATTACTTTGTAGCAGAAGTTCGCTGAATAGGTGATGAATGCTGTTATCTCTTCATCAGGCGGGTACATGGGTATTTGGTTATACCCCGAGTATGCATCCAGGAATCTCAATCTTTGATGGTCGGCCGCTCCGTCAACCAATGCATCAATGTGAGGTAAAGGGTAAGCGTCTTTTGGGCACGCTTTGTTCAGATTTGTGTAGTCTGTACACATCCGCCACTTCCCATTTGCCTTCTTGACCATCACCATGTTGGCCAACCACGTGGAGTACTTGACTTCCCTTATGAATTTTGCTTGGAGTAGTTTGGCGGTCTCTTCCTTTATCGCCTGGGCCCTTTCTCCACCCATTTTTCTTTTTTTTGAGCGATGGGCTTGGCGTCTCGGCATACTGAGAGACGGTGGCAATGAAAACTTGGATCGATGCCCGACATATCCGCTGCAGTCCAAGCGAATAAGTCTGAATACTTTCATAGGACCTGCTTAATATTTTTAGCCTCTACTTCAAATAGTTGAGAACTCAAAAAAGTGACCTGTTCTTCATTCTTTCCAAGTTGGAACGGAATCCTTGTTTCTATAGGTTCGACCCTATCTTCATCCTCCATCCTTGGATCAAGTTCTAGGCCTTCAATTAATTTTGGTTGGCCAACTTCGCCGATGACGTTGACATCTCGTCTTGGCTTTGGAGTTGGCTGTACCTTTAAACTGGCGAAGTAACATTCGCGTGCCGTTTCCTGATCGGCGTGCAAAGTGATGATGGTCCCTTCCTCCGATGGGAACTTCATAGCCAAATGTGGGGTGGAGACGATGGCTCGGAGCTTGTTCAGCGAGGGTCGGCCTAGCAGAATGTTGTATGAAGTGTTAGCGTGCACCACTATGTAACGCACCTTAATTCGTCTACGTTGGTCATCTCCGAAGTAGGTATACAAGTCTATCGTTCCTCGAGTGTCTACTCGTTCACCCGAAAACCCTACCAAGGGTTCATCGTAAGGCGTCAGCTCTTATTTCGGGATGCCAAGTTGCTCGAACGTCTTCTAGTACAAGATGTCTGCCGAGCTCCCCTGATCAACCAAAGTCTTTTTCATAATACAATTGTTGATCTCTATGCTGATGACCATCGGGTCATCTTGCACCGGGTCAATGCCTTGGAAATCTTGGTCAGTGAATGTTATAGGGCGCATACGAATGGGGGACGCCCATCCTATAGCGTTGACCGACTTGATGGCCCTCAAATGTCTCTTTTGGGCCGAAGATGAGCTTCTTCCTCCCGCAAAGCCTCCAGCAATGGTGTTTATCACTCGCCTAGGCTGATTACGGTCTCGCTGATTATTTCTATCTTGGGACCTGCTGCGCTCACGGGATTGGTTCCGCGGAGGTGCCCGATCTCTATTGTCCCTTCTGTACTCCCCCATGCCAGGGTAGTAGTCATTTTTTCTGTTATTTGTCGATCGAATGAAGTTTTGAAGATGGCCGGCCTTGACGAGGTCTTCGATGTGATCCCAAAGGGCAGAGCACTCTTCAGTAGTGTGCCCCCTATTCCGGTGGAACTGGCATGCTTTCGTCTTATCAGCGTGAGGCGGGGTCATAGCTCTTCGAGGAATAGCTAGGACTTCTGTGGCTAAGGCCTGTTCCAACACCTTGGCCCTGCTGGTGTTGAGCGGTGTATAATGCATATACCTTGGACCCCTGTTATTCTTCTCACAATCAGTTATGTCCCAGGGGAAGGGTTTGGGAGGCTCCTTGTCACTTTCTTTTTTGGCGAGAAATAGGTCGGGCCAGTTTTGATTTTGAAACTCGGCCAATTCCTCCATCTACATGTACTTTGTGGCTCTCTGCCTCAGGTCGTCCAGGTCTCGGGGTGGCTTTTTACACAGGTTGACGAAGGGCCCGGGCCGTAACGCTGTGGTTAAGTGATGCATCGCCACGGCCGGGTCCAAGTTACGAATAGATAATGTCATCTTTCCGAACCTCTCCATGAAAGTTCTCAGAGGTTCCTTCTTTTCTTGGCGGATGTTAACCAATGCGATTGACGTGAGCTGATGAGGATGACTCGTGGCAAACTGTATCACGAACCGGGAGGATAGGGCCGTGAACGAGTCTATCGATCCGGGGGGAAGCCTCGTGAACCAATTGAGCGCTGGTCCTCTCAGCAAAGTAGGGAAGACTTTACACATGATTGCTCATCTTCTGTGTACAAACTGACTTGGGTAACGAACGCATCAAGGTGTTCTTTTGGATTGGCGGTTCTGTCATATTTCTCCAGGGTCAAGTTTTTCCAATTGTCGGGTAAACGGGCTCCGACAATGTCTAGGGTAAACGGAGTCCTCCCTTGTCATCGTTGATGATCGAGAGTAGTAGTTGTTACTCCTGCTGGGGGCTTAGGATTCCTCGTTTCTTTGTACCATCCAGACGACTCCCCATGGTCCCGGGTTTATTTAGTGTTGGGGGTATCATGAGATGGGTGCCATGACCGATTGTCATTTCTGAGCTCAGCATTCTCTCTTCTCAGGACCGATAATTCGTGGGCATTCTTTTCTCGGAGCCTCCTGAGTTCCATCATTTCGGCCTTCAGTTGCTCGATGGCCGACGACGGGTTGGGTTGTTGGGACCGGTCCACATATGACTCTTCCATTCCTTCCTCGTTCCGATTAGTTTGCTGTCTAGTGGTGTCGCGGGGCATCCCGAAGGGGTGGTCAGCTACGTTTTCCTGCTGACTCCTTGTTGTTGCCATCTTGCTTCAGGGTCGAGAACCATTCTGGTTTCGGCCCCACGGTGGGCGCCAAAATGTTCCTGCGTAGAAACACTCCTCTTGTCGCTCCTCCTTCTTGATCTTCTACTCTTGTCGCTCCTCCTTCTTGATCTTCTACTCTTGTCGCTCCTCCTTCTTGATCTTCTAAGTTTTCGGTGCCAACCGAACACTATCTCCGGCGGGTGGGGAGGGTACCTACAAAGGCACTCCGACGATAAAGTGAGTATTCGGTGTAGAGCAATAAGTGCTTTTATATGGAATAAATCGTACCTTCTTTATGTCCCATCACCTGTGTATTTATAGTGACACATTTGAGCCTGGTGGGCCTTCTATCTTGGGAGATGGGTAACGTTTCAGTTAGCCTTAATCTTTTTTAATTAGATGTGGTAATCATTGTGTAATAGATATTTTGATCTGCCAGGTGTCCTCCATGAGTTGACCTTATTTTGAGTCTTCGGCCAAGCCTAAGGCCGAAAAGGTATTCGGCCAAGCTCAAGGTCGAGGAGTAGTGTTCCTCCCTTCGGCCAAGCTTGAGGCCGAAGGGGTATTCGGCCAAGCCTAAGGCCGAAAGGGTATTCGGCCAAGCTCAAGGTCGAGGAGTAGTGTTCCTCCCTTCGGCCAGGCTTGAGGCCGAAGGGGTATTCGCCCAAGCTTGAGGTCGAGGAGTAGTGTTCCTCCCTTCGGCCAGGCTTGAGGTCGAAGGGGTATTCGGCCAAGCTCAAGGCCGAAGGGGTATTCGGCCAAGCCCGAGGCCGAAGGGGTATTCGGCCAAGCTTGAGGCTGATGGGGTGCTTGTGATCAGTCGTTGGTGTCCTCATTCACTTTTTGTGTACTCGGCCAGGTTCCAAGCCGAAGGGGTAATAGGGGTGTGGTTTAGGTTCCCTTTTCGGCCCATTCAATTCTTAATTTACTGCAATGCCATCATGATTATGGCAGTTCCTTGTGCATCTTTCGGTTATATGTCCTAATTGCTTCGGTGCTGAATGGCAGACTGAAAGGTGCATATTTATTCAATTTTGTAATCATCAACCTGTTTACTTGATTATTGGAGTGAACTATTTTTATCTATTAATTGGTGCATAGGAGATTTTATAGTCTTGCTGGATTTCAATTAGTAACCTTGTTTCCAACCACAGCTCATGTGGTAAGCTTCACTTTCGTTTCCCATACTTCTTGTAGTTTGTGTGTATAAACCTTGTTTATTTATTATGAGAAGTTACATGCACATTATATACAGACACTGCAACCTTGTTATTCTATATATTTTTAGGTAAAGAATTAGCTAGCCGAGGTTGCTATTCTATGACTTAGGCGCTATATGCATCAGTCAACAAGCAGCTGCTGCATTCAAGTTTTGAAACAGGCAGGTTTTTCACCTGCTTTTTATACGTAGTTGACAAGCTATTCACATTTGTTTTGAGAGGCAGGCGGGTTGAGGGTGAGAGGAGATTCACTTCGACTTTCAGCTAGTGATTTACCAATGAGATCTTACAAGCTTTGTACTTGCATTTGCATAGTGTTGAAGTTTTTTTTATAATTTGTGTATTTTCTCAAAGTTGGGCTTCCACCTTTTTATGGAAATTCAATTAACCAGATGTTACTCTTCTCGGTATATTTTGTTATCAAATTATCGTGCCTTTTTGTTCAATGAAAACTGATATTTTGATTGCTTTTACTAAAAAAAACTTCTTTATAATTAAAAACAGGTTTAGAAGTTCTATAGTTATATAAATTTTTTAAAAAGAGATCCAACAAAAACCTAAAAGAAGTTGTTGTGATGTTTTTCAGTTTTACATAAGTTTAAGACAAGATCTGAAAAAGAAAGGCATCCAGAGGCCGATTCTTCGTGGCTGTATGAGCCATTTTATTTCTCTTCAGTTTAATTATTTAGTTTTGCTTTAAGGGTGTACAAATTTGAATTTTTTGTGTATTTGCATTCATGCAGGGGAAAGTTTCAGATACACTGCAGTGAGGGGTTTGTAGGGCAATGGGATGGGAATCAAGCTCACTTATCAAATTGTTCATCATCTATAGTTGTCAAAATGGCGTCTAGGCTTCCTAAATAATTATACTGGAGGAACTACCTCGCTTGAGGCTTTGGTGATGGAACTAGTTGAAGGAGATTGATGTTCCTTCAATGTTCCATGCTTGGACCATGATGCTTCTTGAGGTTGACTACTTGAAATCTCTGGAATCTCCTTTGAAGAAGCTTCAAAGGAGGAGAAGTCCTTGAGGAGGTTCGGTCACTTCCTAAATCTTGTGAAGGAAAATATCTTGCCTAAAGTACCCTATGTGGTAAGCTAGGCATTTCCTAGAAAATAATGAAAAGACTACCAAGAAATTCCCTAAACAATTTTGGATTATATTATTTGTTGGATAGTTATGAAAAGAATTTGTCACAAGGAACCTTGAAGGTTCAGATGTTATATCCAACAAATAATATATTCCATAAATTGGGTGCATTATTGACACAACTAAGGTAGGAAGACTATATACCTTGGGCACCACCAAGGAAGTAGTATGAGAAGTAGAACTAAATGAAGTCCACTTCTCCTTCACAAAATCTTGAAGTTGAGATTCTTTTTCTTTAAAAATAATGGATTTGTGAATCTCTTCTTCAAGACTAGTGGCAGCGTGAGGGTAAGAGTTAAGGTCTTTATGAATAAAGAGAATAGTTTTCATAGGTTCTTTAGTGATAAAGCAATTCTCTTTAGACATAATGTCCTTAGAGGATGTTTCTTCCTCTTTACTCTTCCCTACCTTTTCTCTTTTTCTTTTGTTTTTCATTTGTGCTTGATCCTCAGCCACTTGTTGAGGTGAGAAAAGATAAAGTACAAATTTCTTTCACTTGTGAGTAAAGGTAATTTCATTAGTAAGACCATCATGTACAGTTTTCTTTTCAAATTGTCATAGTCTTCCTAACAAAATATGACAAGCTTCCATTGGTACTATATCACATAAAGCTTGGTCCTCATACTTCCCAATGGAAAACTTGACCTTCACTTATTGGTCAACTACTATGTCACCATCCTTATTAAGCCATTGCAAATGATAAGGTTGAGGATGTGGCATAGTAATTAGACTCAACTTTTTAACCAACCTAGTGCTACAACAGTTGCACCATGAACCACTATCAACAATGAGAGAACAAGCATTATTTAAAACATTACATCTTGTATGAAAGATGTTCTCTCTTTGTGATAGGGTACCACTAGGTTGATTATGAAGGATTCTCCTAAGCATTAGGAGCTCTCCTTCATAAGGATAAATTGGCTCCACTTTGGACCTTTGAAGCTTTGTTTCAACCTCACTCTCACTAGAAGAGGAGGTAGTAGTCTCTTCTTGACTACTATAAGTGTCATGCCCCCTTAAGATCATGACTTTCTTTGTAGGGCATTGAGAAGCAATGTGGCCTCTCCCTAGACACTTGAAACATTTAATATCACTAGTCTTTGTGCTAGTGTGTGGAGTGATGAGATCTTTATCCTTATCTTTATTTTTCTCTTTCCTCTTAGCCAATTCTTTGGAGGGTTCTGAAATAATTTTCTTTTCAAAAGGTTTTTCTTCCTCCATGTAGTCTTTCTTAAGAGATCTAGAGTGGGAGCTTTCTCTTTTAGAAGATTTTCTCAATATTTGTTGTTCTACCCTTACACAAAGTTGGACCAAGTCATTTAGGTCCCTGTAGGGTAGTAGCTCCACTTGGTCTCTAATCTCTAAGTCAAGACCACTTAGGAATCTAGCTACAGTGGTGGCTTCCTCTTCTCTAATACATGCCCTCATCATGTATAGCTCCATTTGTTGCCTATATTGTTCAACAGTCATATCTTTTTGTTGGAGCCTTTGGAGCTTATTCATAAGCTCCCTGCCATAGTAAGAGGGAATGTGTCTCCTCCTCAATGCACTCCTAAGATCATTCCAATATTGGATAGGAGGATCATTGTGGAGACGTCTTTCTCTTTCCAAAGAGGTCCACCAATACATTGCATGCCCTTGAAAGCTAAGGGTTGCAAGCGGAACTTTCCTTTCTTCACTTACCCTATAGCAAGCAAAGAGTTGTTCTAC